TTTAGACGTCTCGTAGTTTTATTTCAGACATCTTGTTGTCTTTTTGGGCATGTGCCCTAGCTCTCCTTGCCGTGACTATATGTATCAAAGACATGGCTCTTTTGTTAGGGGATTGAAAAGAACGTAAAAAGCAAAGTATTGTTCATCACTCCTTGACTCAAAGTTCAGTAATCTTTGAATCCGTTCCTCTTACAAGTTTATACTTACAAGAGGGTCTTCTATCAACCATCARAAATRGCRATCATCACATTCGGATTCGTCCCCATTCCTACACATCGCCACTGCCATTCTCGAATCATCYTCATCACACCTTCATCCTTCCATATTCGCATCACCTACAGCCTTTCCTTTGGAGTTTGATCACGTGGGATCTCATCACAAATTCTACCTCATCATCGGTTGGATGTTCCCATGATTCGAATTGGTTGGTAGAATGAATGTGCCGGGATCTTCCTCTTCTTCAAGGTTGAATTCATCACGGAAGTTATCTTCGGGTCCTTCTTCATGGTTCCAAGTCTCTTCCTCATGGTGTTGTGACTCTCCTTCACTGAGTTGAGAATTAGTTAACTCACACCAAGGTTTGTACTTGTGGTAAGGCTCTACGAACTGATTTGATTCTTCTTCATTATGGTGTCCTTCATCTTGTGGTTCGTCTCCTTCTTCTAGACTGAATTTGGAGTTAGCGTCTTCACGCCACAAGTCTCCATGGTCTTCTCATACATCTTCTCCTTGGTCAGTTTCTTCTCCAAACCAATTGTATTGGCTTGTATCGTCTAGACTACAATCTGGTGGTTCCAGCTCAAGCTGGTCACCACGTGGTTCATCTTCAAAATCAGAAGCTGATAGTCATCTTCATACGACACTTCTTCTCCATCATCAGACTCGTTGGTGCTTAGGTCGAGATGGAAATCATTATCTTGACTCCAATCGTTTTGGGAGAGATTGTAGTCACTCATATCATCTTCTTCACTTTCATAGAAATCCATTCTTAGCCTGCGAATATTTTACCTTGAGCAAGCAAAAAGAGAGAAAACGATCAAAGTCCAATCAACACAAAAGGAAAGAACAAATACTGACAAAAACACAAAAATGGTA